TCTAAATTTGTTAATAACATAACCCTATTGTCAGCGGGTCCACTGAGTCAGATGAGAACAGGGAAAGACCTACTGGAATCAAAGACACCACCAATAATCGAGGGAGGGCAGGCTTGTTCCTCTAAGTGCTAATGGCAGTGACAGCTATGGTAACTTTAGGAGGGGGGTACACATATAAAGAAAGTGAAGAGTTAATGCTCCCGGGAGATCTCAACTAGTAATGCATGGGGAGTTGGTGGATACATTTCAGCATCCTCACCTCTCAGTTGGGATAACTGTGAGGCAGCTTCCACACTTAGACTTTCCAGAGTTCCCCAGAGGTCTGAGCTCCAGGTGCCTGCAGTGGGGACTTGCTTGATAACGCATGCTTCACTGGTTTCTCTTCCCTCCCTGTCTCATGTCCTCACTGTCCTAGTGGTGTTTTCTGGAATCCCCTCCCAAATAAACTACTTGCACTTGGATCCTTGTCAATTCTGCTCCAGCTAGAAACATCACGTGTTTTCCCACCAATTTACTTTTCTGTACCCATTCCCACTTCCCTGAGATATTCAGCCTTTTTGTTCTGTCCAAATTCCAACAGTCACAAACTGAAACTTTGCTGCAGTCTGGGCCTGGGATTTCTCTTCCCACTGAAATCAAGAAATGTTTCTCTATTCTACTCTGCTGACAGTTAATCAGACCTGGTGTCCGCTTTCCATTGTATAGTGGGCTATAGAAAAGCTGGAATCAGACATACATACCTGGCCTCGAATCCTGACTCCATTACTTACTAATTGTGAAACCTTGGGCAAATCACCTAAATTCTCTGATCTTCAGTTCCCTCCTCTGTGAAATAAAGATAACGATCCCTGCCTCATCAGCTTGGCCACCTAATTTAATGAGCTAAATGTATTAAGAACCAAGATATTGTCTAAAATGAGGATATTTGAGGAAAGATAGTTACTTTTGTTATATTTTCTTTTATTATTTCATTTCTCATGTGTCTCCATTTTGCTTCCCAAACTAAGTTGTAGTTCCTTTGCTCTATTCAACTTCTTTTTTACACTGCCTTGCACGTGACAGGCACTAAATAATTATTTGTTATCAGTTTTCTAAAGCATTAAGCCAGATAATGCACTCTTTTAATTCAAGACTCATGTATGGATTATTTGTTATTTGTGAAGCATTCACAAGAAATTTTTAGCAGGTCACTCACTTGACTTCTCTGGGTCTCAGTTTCTTCACATGCAAAATAAATGTTTTGGTCTGTAACTCTGAGTGTACTGAGGTCCTTCTAGCATTGAAGTTTGGAATCTATAAATCCTTGGGGGCAAGTATGGTGAGTTACTCTTCTTTCTGACCCCTCAACACTTGAGCCACTGGTGGTTACAGAATAAGTGACCTTCTAGTGCATGCAGAATCAATTCCAGACGTCTCACAGGTCCTGTCCCCCTCCACCCTTACCTCTTTCCACTCTGCCAATCCCTCACTCTACTCTGGCCAGAATGCTTTTTCTTTGTACCCCTAGAATTTTCCAGGCTTGTTCGGTCTTGAGGCCATTGCACTTGCTGATTCTCATCATTTTCTTCTCTGTGCAAAGGTCTCCTACGTAGAGGTCCCCCACCCCACCCCAGTCTCTCTATGCCATGACCCTGCTTTTTTTTCACATTCTTGTGATTGCTCTCTAAAATTGTGTAATTATTTAGTCATTATTTATTTATTGTTTGTTCTCTCCACCTCTCCCCATCCCCCAAATATAAACGTCTATCCTGGATCCTTTTATAATATCCCTGCTGCTAAAACAGTATTTAGCACAAACTAGGCCCTGAAATAAATAACTGTGAAATGAATGAATGAACGAACTCTACCACATCTTATAGAGTAGGTTTTAGTCGGTGAGCTAAAATCTGTGGCTATCACACGAGGTTTGAGTGAACTTCTTTAGGTACGAGTCACCCGCGCAAGTGAATTAATTGCCATGGGTCTTAATATTCATGGAGTGGGAAGAAACAATCCCTAGGAAGACAACCGCAAACAGTCATATCAGTTTCTCTAGAAATCATATGAGCATATCTTACTTGCTGTGGAAAATTTAGATATAATTTTGGAGTAAATAATTCACTTCTTTTTATTATGAAAAATTTCAAAGATGAGCATAAGGAGCTGTAATAGACGAGAGTAGCGTAATGGGCCCTCCTGTCCACTGTGGCCAGGCCGTAGGGTGGCTCCTCGTCCTGGTGTTCACACCCCTGTATAATCCCCTTCCCCTGAGTGTGTGTGAAACCCGTGTCTTGCTTTCTGGCCATTGGAATGTTCACATTTGATATTGCCCCTGTGTGATTCCTTCACGTTATAGAAGCTTCTGTCTTGCTGGCAGACTCGCTCTAGGAACTTTCTTTGCTGGCTTGAGAAGTAAGTGGCCATGCTGGGAAAGCCCAGGTGACATTGAACTCCAGGTGATCTAAAGGAACTACAGGTACCCTCTTGGAGTTGCAGACAGTTTCCAGTTGACAGCCAGCAAGAAGCCAGGGCCCTCAGTCCTATAGCTGCAAGGAAATGAACGAAGCAGTGATCTGAGTGAGTGTGGAAGCCATTTCTCCAGTTTATGAGAACACAGCCTGGTCAACACCTTGATAGCAGGTGTGAGACTCTAGGCAGAAAACTCAATTACCTGGATCCCTTTGTGGGAAAATAGCCTAAATGATTCATTTTCAAGAATAGCTTAACAAGGGTTGCTTGACTGACTTGTGCTGTGATAACCCCTGAAATGCACTTTCCCAAGGGTGACTTCTCAAGATGGTGGCTGGTCACCTTGTTCTTTTTACTTCCTGGTTCTTCTTCCCCCTCCTTGGGCCTTTTTCATGGGCTTGTCCTGAGCCCACCCCTTTCTGCCAGAGGGAAGGGGACAATAAATGCCTTATAAGGAAGTAATAAAACTTAGATGACATTCGGGAAGATTGTGCCCTCCATAGTACTCAGCCAATGAGGAACTGGGGGAGGGACTTGCACACTAGGGAATAAATTGCTTGATGTAACGGTTTCGTGTGTGCCTGTCCCATTCGCAGACACCCGGACCTTGCAATGCCGTTATTAAAGTCTTGCTTCGCTGTACCTTGTGTCTCTGTGTCCATCCTTTGGCATTGGACGGGTGAGGGCATTTCTCACAAACTGACCCACAGAAACTGTGAGATAAGTCTGTGTTATTTGAAAGCCACTAAATGTGTGCTAATTTGCAGCAATAGATAATTAAATACAGATACATCCCCAACGTCAAGGATTTTCAACAGTTTCCAATATTGTTTCATCCATACCCCTATGTCTTTGGGGAGTGAATGGGCTGGTGGGATTTAAAGCACATTCTAGACTTTATATCATTTCACTTGCAAGTACTTTAGTACGCATCTCTAATAGACAAGGGCTTTTAAAAAGCATAACCAAGATGCCAGAAAAGTTTGGTCTTAACTGAGAACAAGAGTTGGAATCTTTTTTAAAGCCATCAAGACAATGGAGTATATTAATTGGACACCCTGAGAAAAGGTGCTGGCAATAAATAGAATAAGAATAATATCTTGTCAATCCCATCAGCTAAAGGACAGGAAGGCGTATGAGAGTTGTCACTTGAAATGTCTGAGCCTTGCCAGTTGTATTATTCTATTTTTTTTTAATTTAAATAATCAGTGTTTGAACTTTTAGCTAGTTGGTTTTTGAAAATAGTGCAGCCACAAAGTACTTAATTGTTCCTTTAATGTGCTTGTCTATCATACTATATCTAAGATAGTTCATACCCAATTCTGACTTGTGTTTAGGATCCAACCCATTCCCCCAAGTCCCTAACCTGCTTCGGAATGGATCCCTGTAAATCGCATTTTTATTCGTAACCCCTTATAATTTCGTGTCATATTCTAATTGCTATTTTTTCCTTACTACAGGAAGCTCTGTCCAAAGGGCTCTCTTGGATAAGCCAATCTCATCTCCCTTTGACACTGCTCACCAAGGCATGCTTTGTAAGGGACATACTCGGGGATCTGGTTCAATGCCATCTCTACCCCTGGGGAGCTCTGTGACATCTGGCAAGTGGTTAAGCTGTCTCTCAGCTGGATACAACAGTGCCTCGCAGGGTTGGGGTGAAGATGAGACAAAGAACATGTGTCCTGTGCAAAGTGCCCAGCCCAGAGAAGGCACCGTTCCGCGCCATCCCCTTTGTTGGTTCCAGTCTCCAACCACCGAGCACCAGAACGCTCCGCACCGCGCCTGTCCCGCCCTCGTCGCGGGGGATGAGGGGACTTGTAGTTTTTAGGTCCCCAGGTCCTGTTTCCTAGAAGCCGGACGGCGACAGGAAGAACTACATATCCCAGTGGGCCGTGAAAGCAAAGTGGGGCTCGGAAAACCGAGCGTCCTCTCCTGGCTGCCGGCGCTTTCCGCGGTCCCCGGTTGCGCCCACCCCTGCGGGGGCTCAACCCCGCGCCAAAGCCCGGGAGGGCGGCTCCGCCCGGGCCGTCAGGAGGGAGGCGCGGGCCGGCCCCGAGATGCGCGTGGTCCCCCCGCTGCCGAGGGTGCTCCGCAGGGGAAAGGAGGGGAAATAAAGCGAGCAGATTGTGAGCGCCCGCCGGGGAGAAGCGGGGAAAGAAGGGGCCGGGAGCCGCGGCCCCAACAGTGCCTGGCCGCCGAGGCCTCAGCCCGCCCCGCTCTCCCCTTCTCTCCCTGCTGAAACCCGGCCTGGAAGGCAGCCCAGCCGGGCCCCGAGACCCCCGCCCGTCCTGTCACCTGGCACCGCACCCCTTTCCCCGGGTACCGGTAGAGTCCGCCGGCGACTCGACCACGCGCCCCGCGGGGGAGGACGAGCCGGGAGCAGGCCGGGGAGGGTCGCCTCTCCGCGCCGTGGCTCCTCAGGTCCCCGGGAGTGGCCGTGTGAATGTGCGTGTCCCAGGCGGCGGCGGCTGCCGTGAATAAGCCCGGGGGAGAAGCCGGGTGGCGGACACCCGTGTCCCACTTGCAACGCCCCCCGCCGGCTGCCCGCGTGGATGCCTCCCGGCGGCGGCGGCGGGCCCATGAAAGACTGCGAGTACAGTCAGATCAGCACCCACAGCTCCTCCCCCATGGAGTCGCCCCACGCGAAGAAGAGGACCCCGGCCCGCAGGAAATGGGAGGTGTTCCCGGGAAGGAACAAGTTCTTCTGCAACGGGAGGATCATGATGGCCCGGCAGACGGGCGTCTTCTACCTGACTCTCATCCTCATCCTCGTCACCAGCGGACTCTTCTTCGCCTTCGAGTAAGTGGCGGCGACAGTTCCCCCGACGCCCCGCTCCCCTCGTCCCCTCCACGG